ATAAGGAGTGCGATAATTCAACAGCGGGTTAACACTGATCATTGCATCTCAACAGACGCCTTCTTCAAAGTAATCTACAGAGTCAAGAATAACCTACCAAAGGCAATACAGTTTCGTCTTCATTGTATCGCTGAAGCTTTGGTCATTCACATAGAAAAACCGGAGCTAGGCATACAAAACAGAATTACTCAACTAATTCTACTAATGTGATTATAACTTTGTCGATTTTTGATGAAATAATTTTGTTCGTTTACCTGTTTCTTTAATTGCTTATATTTCTTGTATTCATTTAGAACTCTTACGTAAATTCATATCCTCTACTTTGTTCCTATGTGCATCCTGAGTAAAACTCAATCATCAAACTATTCATATTATTACGTAACTCCTTATTAACATCTGTTTGTGATAACTCATCACCTTTGTTACTACACTAGTTTCATTAACATCCAATTCTCTTGACAGTTTTTGTATTACGTAACTCTAGCCAGAACTTACTAATTTTCCCCTGTTTACTTAAAATAACGATAACCAATTGTATTTTTGTCCGACAAACTCAATGTACACATACATACACAACAACACATATATTCAAGTGTTGGTTTGTAGGGATTTGATCGGTTTCAGGATTTCATCATAAGCTGACAGTAGTTGGAGAACCATTGGAAAACCTGGGAGTATTGGACAGCTGTTTCGTCCTAGTTTGGGACTCTTCACCAGTACGCACACACCGGGATTCCAACCCAGGACCTTCCGGTTACAAGGCGAGCTCGTATACCATTGAGCCACTGGGACCCGATCCAATGGTCCTTGAATTCTAACTTCTGCCAATTCACGACATAGCGCGACCGCTAGACAATGTCTTCGGCGAGTATTTGTCCTCACACCCGACCAGCTGCACCCTACTGGTCACGACTTCCCACTGGAACCCAGGTAACTACCCACCTGAATAGGGCCAGTCGCCAGTGATCATCTCATTGGTATTTAATTGTTGGTTTGTAGGGATTTGATTGGTTTCAGGATTTCATCATTAGCTGACAGTAGTTAGAGAACCATTGGAAAACCTGGGAGTACTGGACAGCTCTCTCGTCAGCCTAGTTTGGGACTCTTCATCAGTACGCATCCACCGGGATTCGAACCCAGAATTTAGAAATCAAGGACCAATGGATCGGGTCCCAGTGGCTCAATGGTATACGAGGTAGCTCGCCTTGTAACCGGAAGGTCCTGGGTTCGAATCCCGGTGGGTGCGTACTGATGAAGAGTCCCAAACTAGGACGAAACAGCTGTCCAGTACTCTCAGGTTTTCCAATGGTTCTTTAACTACTGTCAGCTCATGATGAAATCCTGAAACCAACACATATATATTTGCGATTGTACAGCTAAGAAAATGAATTCACCGCCAATGAAAAGAGACTCTTCGCTGAATTACGTGTTTTATGTTCCCATTGGATTCCATCCAAGGCAGTGACTGGTTGACGTGCTCAGTCTCTTGACCTATAAGGTGGCCTTCAATTCATGTGATTTCCTTTCTGTTGATCAGTAAATGTTTTCTATGTCAATGAGTCTACTGATTTTATATTCAGTTTTAAACCTCTTAGGAAAATTAGAAACTCATGTATACAGAAAATCAAACCACACAGATCAGGCAACCAGTTGCCACAGTAACAAATCAATAGCATAAAAAAATAGTCGCATACAAAATCACCAGGAGGCGTCTCACCACTCCTCCCTTGAGAAGACTTAAAGACAAATATAGATATCCACGAAATTTTGTCAAAAGACTTTTAATCTCAACCCAACCAACTAAATCAAAATTCCCCGACGACGAAAGCACAAATAAAACTGCCTAACCATTTATAAAAAAAAAACATTTCCTAAATCTACCCAAGACTCTTCAGACCTTTTGAAATCAATATCACCCACAGAGCGACAAAATCACTTCAATCGGTTCCATATCAACCAAAGGAGACAACAGCGACTGTAGTAAACAACACATTTTGGCGATATTAGATAGTTGGAGGCTATCGGCCACAGGAAGCCTTGCACCTAGGTTTCGTGCTAATTGGCACTCATCAGCAAGGCGTATCAGCAATCCTGAAAGAACTCATGTCCCTTCTGAGTAGATTCGAACCCGCGTCACCCAGTGCCGTCTGCAGTCAGTCAAAGACGTTACCACTGAGCTATTCGGGCTCGCGATTGACCTCCTGTAGGAATGTGGTGGGTATTTTGATTGGACACTAGTAACTAGTGTGACGCGTCTAGTCCTTTCTTTGGTGCAAACTGAATTCTATCAATCAGGTTTTGCAATGTGGCCACCTGAGTGATATAACTAAGTCTACACCAAAGAAAGGACTAGACGCGTCAAACTAGTTACTAGTGTCCAACCAAAACAACACATTCGTCAAAATGGACGCCTTCTTCATTTTTTTTATACCTAACACTGATATTACTGATATTGAGTCAATCTTATATAGACCATCCCATTGGCTGAACGGTTAACTAACTGGTCTCGTATCTTGAAGGTCTTTAGTTCAATCGATGGTAGTGCCATGGGTGCATATTGTTGTCGAGTACTCCTTGACTCTCTAACTGATATCGATCCGGGATCAAACTAAAAAGCGACCAAATCCCTGCAAACCAACAGTTGAAGATTGTTCTTGATCAGTAGATTGAAGGCCTGAGTTACGCCAGAATTCAAAGCAGAGTCTGTCCTTCTGTTGCCCTACTGGTAATATTGACCTTTACAAAGACTATATACTACTAACTGAATGAAATAAGTAGCTGTACATATATCAAAGTGATTTAAACACCAGATGACTGTTTCATTCGTTTTGAGTTACGATCACTATGTTGCACTTAAATTCTAGATAGCCTAATTGGCTAGACTGTCTATTAACACATGCTTAGGGGGTTTCAATGCATTTCTTAATGAAACTGTGAAGATTATTCACTGATTGAATGTGAAAGAATCATTTTTCGAGTCGGCGAATGACTCACAACTCGTTTTTATCAACGCTGAAGATCTTTTCAGAAATGGGTGTAACTGTGGTTTGGTATTTGTGGATTGAATAAAGTTTTATTTTTAAATGAGTAATACTCACATTCCATTAGATATTCTTCTTCAGTTAAATTTAAATAATGTTCAGTGTTACACTGATCTCACCATGGTAATCTATATCTGATTTTATTACCGAAAAACACAGCGTCATTTAATGTTTGTCTTACTCATTAAATCAAATAGGTGCAGTAAAACATCAGACAGAGACCCTTTCAATCTCAAAAAAGTTAGAGTTACCGGATACAAGATCGATGACGCCACTACCTAGTCCAGGGAACCTTTATAATCAATTTGAAAGCTATCTTAGTGCGGTGAGACCTGGCCGCTATCCAAAATTGGTAAACAGTAAGTTACGTCAATGTCCACGTCTCCAGTGTTGGTGGTCGTGAGAGAAATAAGAACAAAGACTGTTCCAACCTTCAATCACAGCAGACTTTGCGTAGGCGGACACAATTTGCAGATAGATAATCTGAACTTTATTAAAAAACGGCCACAAAGAGATGAAAGATTAACGTTCACAGTTAGAAACTACCAATCAGAAGACTGTGTTTGCTTGCTTACAATAATCGATAATAATGTACATAAAAATATATAAATATCTGTTGATTTCCTAAATAAACGATCTGTTGCCTGGCCCTTGTCTTCTGTTGTTACAATAGAAGCTGGAGGAAGACCGCATTCCAAGTTCAACAACCAGAAACTGAAGAGTAAAGCTATACTAGATACCTTCGTTGGAATTATCAGGAAAAAGTGGGAGGTATTAGGCAACATCATCAAGGAAACCTGTATGGAAAGCGACTCATTAGGCAAGAAAAAGCAACAAGACAAAGAATATCTCTCTGCAGACACCTGAAGCTTGGTAAAAGATAGACGGATGGTGGAACAAAAGATGAACTAGCACATAGGCGGACAAGTTGGATACAACTTACAGAGTACTGTAAAAAGAAGAGAAGAGAACATTGAAGACTGAAGCAGAACATGCCGCCGGTAAGAGAGACGTCAGAAGTCTATAATAAATAACCATGTGGTTATCCGGGAACACACTATATTACATGAAACCAGTGAGAGAGAGAGAGAGAGTGAAGGGAACCCCAATACCAAAGAGTTAGGACAGAGGAAATGTTATGGTGAACATTTTTAAGGGCATCTGAATTGACTGTCGCCATCAATTATTTCAGGAATACCATCAGCTGATGTAGGACTATTAGTGAAAATGTAGATCAAATACCTGGCGTAAAGTAGTTATGGATATTAATTAATTTAGGTGTAAGATATTTAGGAATTGTTTTTTTTTATTTTGAAGTATTGTTTTTTAAGTTCATCAAATTAGTTGGGTTATTTAATTGTGATAAAATATATTACTGTTATAATAATAATAATAATCTACATTATTCCAAAAACAGTACTTATAATCCAGAATGGAATTCTCAGCATTTGTCACAATACCTTGCATCTGATTTACTTAAAATATAAATAAAATTAAAACAAAATGAGGCAGAGGAATTTGTCCATGTTTACGATATTGTTATGTACTCGTCGCTAAATTATTGTTATGGACTGGTCGAGAAATTAATAGTCCTGACGCGAGAAGGCGGAAATCAGAAGACCACTAGGTTTGCGATGATACTTCTATTGTCCAAACACAAGGAGACGAAAATAAATGGTCTCACACCAAAGTGGTAAGCAAGTCAAATAGTTGTAAAGTAAAGTAGTTCACACAAATTGTGAATGCGAATATATATAAATAATTCAGACAAGCGTGGGAAAAATCATTAGACAGTCTTAACATGAATGGCTAATTATAATGGAGTGTCGATCCAATTATACATAGCGAATATAGCAGACATGCCAACAAACATATATGGATATATGTCACCAAGCAACGGACTGTCAACAAACACTCATATTATATATAATATAATATAAGGAGAATACACATTAATAAAGGAGACAAGTTCATACAAGTGAAGTGGTCACAGACTAACCGAGCAAACAGAAAGAGAGACCAACATACACACACACATAAATATATATGTGGATACATATCACCTCCCCTTTTGAGAAGATTGATGATTAATAGCGTGCTTTCTTGGGGTTTATCTGAAACCGTTCAGTTTGTTGTCGACGTCTGTTGCTTCGTCTGCTTGTTGAGTTTGCGGCTTCTGCTTTGTCTGACGTTGTCTGAGCTGGGCACTTCTGCTTTTCTGTTTTGTCAGTCGTAGGTAAGTTAAAAGTATCCAAGAGAATATCCAGAGGTAGGGATGACTGTGTACTGGTAGGGATATTTGAGTTTCTTGGCCGCAACTGATTGTAGTGACGGGTCCATAATTCATTTCCAACTTTCACGTCGTACATAACTCGACCACGTCGTGCTGAGATGGAACCTTTATTCCAAGGTTTATGTCCTCCTCGATAGTCGCGGACATAGATAGGGTCACCAACATCAAATTTTTTTTCATTCCGAAATGATGCGTCGGCATGTTTGAGTGTCGGTGGTAACATTGAGTTATGAATCGTTCTAAGTTTGCGTCCGTAGAGAATTTCTGCCGGCGATTTCTTGTTCTGTGTTGACTCATTCGCCGTTGTACGGTACACCATCAAGAATTTTTGGATGATGTCAAATGGTGTCCCCTCTCCCTCTGCTTTGAGTAAGGCTCTCTTCAAAGTGTCGACAAAACGTTCCGCTTGGCCGTTTGACTGAGGATGATACGGCGGTGTGAACATATGCTCGATAGCATTTTGATGACAGAACTGCTGAAACTGATGAGAGGTAAACTGCGAACCATTGTCTGTAACTATGGTTTCTGGGAGACCATGGTGGGAGAATATGTCAGTGAGAGCTTTGAGAGTCTGGGACGTTGTCGGCGAAACCATTGGTATAACTTCTGGCCACTTAGAAAAAGCGTCTACCACCACTAAATAGTATGCACCATTTGTAGGGCCAGCAAAGTCAATATGAATTCTGGACCAAGGATGGGATGCTGGAGGCCACGGTACGGGAGGTAGCTGGTGGGGTAGCTTTGCTGATTGTTGACATTTTGAACATCGTTGAACAAAGTCGATAATATGCTTATCCATATTAGGCCAGTATGCGTAGCTGCGAGCAATACTCTTCATCCGCTGAATACCAGGATGTCCCATGTGAAACTGTTTCAGGAGTTTATTTCGTAATGCTTCAGGTATCACTACGCGTTCTCCAAACATCAAGCAATCTTTTACAACACATAAGGAATCACGACGGGCAAACAGGTGTTTTAGGTCTCCACTATATTTAATCTTTGGCCAATTACTGGATACATACTGTGTAGCACGTCGTAAGGTGGCATCGGTGCTTGTAGTTCGCTGGATTTCTGCAAACGTTACTGGTAGAGATCGAATAGCATTGTCGATGAGGTTAACTGCATAGTCTTTGGTGGCGATCGATGCAATTACCATATCTTCACTTGATGCAGGATAGTCGCTAATTAGCCGAGATAGAGCGTCGGCTTGACCAAATTCGTTAGTTCGGTTGTATTTAATATCGAAATCGTATCCAAGTAATATTATTGCCCAGCGTTGTAGTCGGTTAGCTGCATGTACCGGGATACCTGATTTAGATCCGAAAATGGAAAGTAACGGTTTATGATCTGTCAGCAAGGTAAATCGGCGGCCGTAGATCATTTTATGAAAACGTCGTACGGCGAAAACTAAAGCTAAGGCTTCTTTTTCAATTTGTGCATATTTCTTTTCTGCCGCAGTTAGTGTTCGAGATGCATGCATTATTGCTTTTTGTGAACCATCTGGGAAGACATGTAAAATGACAGCTCCCACTCCGCTTGCTGAAGCGTCCGCTGCAACTATAATTGGAAGTGTTGGACTATAATGTGTCAGAAGCAATTCAGAAGTTAACATAGACTTCAACTTTTCAAAAGCTGATCTGCAAGCTTCGGACCATTTCCAGGTTGCATTCTTTTCGAGTAGTCGATTGAGGGGGTGTCGAACATTATGCAGCGCAGGGAGAAATGCAGAGTAATAGCTAATTAATCCCAAGAAAGAGCGTAAGGAAGGCACATCAGTAGGTGCGGGCATCTCTTTTATAGCACGTATGTTGTCAGGATCTGGACGTCTACCCGATGCATCAAATATAAATCCAAGGTATTTGACAGATCTCAAGGAGAACTGACACTTCTCTGAGCGTAGTCGTAGACCGTTGTCCTGCATGCGTGACAACACAGCTTCTGTCCTGCTGTAAAGTTCGTTTATAGAATTCGCTACCACCAAGATATCATCAAGATAGACGGCAACACCCGGAATACCTGCCAAGATAGTATCCATCAGTTGTTGGAAAATAGCTGGGGCAGTTTTAACTCCGAAAGGTAATCTGTTGTATTGGAACAAACCGCGATGTGTATTAATGGTAAGGAGTTCTCGGCATTCTGGGGCTACTTCCACTTGTAGATATGCGTCAGCAAGGTCCAGTTTTGCAAAATAAGATCCACCATTTAAAACAGTGAATAAATCATCCGGTGTAGGTAAAGGATAGTGGTGCTGTTCTAATGCAGCATTCAACCCAGTAGAGAAATCAGCACAAATACGTAGGGACCCATTCGCTTTCTTGACAACGACGATGGGTGCTGCCCATGCCGAGTACGTGACTGGTGTTAATACGCCTTGTTGTTGCAGTCTCTCCAATTCTTCGTCAACTTTTGGTACAGATGCATATGGAACTGGCCTCTTTGGGCGAAAAACCGGTTTTGCGTCTGGTAATACTCGAAAGGTAGCTTGCAGCGAGGTACAGTGACCTAATCCGGGCTGAAAAACAGGTGCGAATAGTTTGCATAAATCAGAAAAGGAGTTGGCTGAATTTTCATCCTTGTTAACTGCGTTGCATACAGAACTAAGTGGGACATCAGCCAGATGTAAACGATCGAACCAATCAAGTCCCAAAAGATTTAAATCACTCTTGGTGACGTAACAAATTCCTGTGAATTTGATATCGCGGAAGGAAACAGAACATTCGAGTTCACCAATTAGTTTGAGGCGCCCACCACAGGCGCTGACAGCAGTCTGAGAAGTATTGGTGATAGGTGGTCTGCCAATATTATTCCAAAGTTTCTTTGATATAACAGTAATATCAGAGGCGGTATCTAGCTGCAGACGTGCATCATGACCATTCATCTGAAGGTCAAGATATTTCCGCATACATGGAGTTATGACTTGACAGGTTGCGAGTAGACTCAATGATTTTCTTGGAGATTTAGGACCAACAGTTTGTTGAGCTTTTGCTGGATTATGATATCTGGGTTTGCGTGGCTGACAAAAACCATTTTTATGACCGATGATTTTGCACTTGCTGCAACGATGATTTTTGTATGGACAAGACTTTACAAAGTGCCACGCGCCACAATGCCAGCATGGTGATGGAGGGGTCTTCTTTGTCGTATTTTGTGAAGTTGGACGAGTATGTGTAGATTTCCGCGGGACATTAGAGAAGTAGGTGGGTCAGGAGTAGATGATGAGAGATTTTTGCTCTTTCGTAATGCACGAATATCAGAGCTTCTCGAAGGTGTTGATTCGACCAGGTGTGTGTCTTTCTGCAGATTAATCAGCCGTTGATATTCATCAGCTATGTCATGTAATGTTAACTTGGGATTTTGTTCTAGCTGATTGAGCAGTCGAGTTCGGATATCTGTGAAACGAGGAGATTGGAGACTGCATATGAGAATCAAGGCTTTGAATTGATCATCTGTTAAGGACCTGAGTCGAAATCTCTCACATTCTCGGTTGACTGTGCCAACGTGAGTAAGAAAATCATCATTTTCATTCATTGTCAGCTTGAGGCAACGATAACGTATACTGAATAATGAGGAGTGGTCTCCAAAATGTTCACGCAGCAGCTTTATTGTATCATCGAAACAATTGTCACGTGGTTTCTGTGGTAAAATTAGGTTGCAGTACCGTTCATATTCTGCCGGACCCAATTTACGTAGCAAAACTCGCACCTTCCAGGCATCGTCTTGTGAGGCGAGATCAACAGTGAATAAATCCTCATAACGTTGATACCATGTGTCAAAAGTGACATTAGCCTCTGGGTCATAATTGAACTGTGAAATACTGTTCACAATTCCGTCGACAGATGGTAGCATGGTATGATTGGGATTGCTTGAAGGTGAAGCTGGACCAGTCTGTTGGTTGACGAACATTTCCATTAATTTCATTTGTCGTTCAAACAATAATTCCAATTTAATAGGATCCATAGTAAATTGTTATGTTGTTGCTGCTGTGTGGTTAATAGTAGTTTTCCCCGTCGCCAAATTGTTATGTCTAGTTTCCCCGTCGCCAAATTGTTATGTACTCCCCGTCGCCAAATTGTTATGTACTCGTCGCTAAATTATTGTTATGGACTGGTCGAGAAATTAATAGTCCTGACGCGAGAAGGCGGAAATCAGAAGACCACTAGGTTTGCGATGATATTTCTATTGTCCAAACACAAGGAGACGAACATAAATGGTCTCACACCAAAGTGGTAAGCAAGTCAAATAGTTGTAAAGTAAAGTAGTTTCACACAAATTGTGAATGCGAATATATATAAATAATTCAGACAAGCGTGGGAAAAATCATTAGACAGTCTTAACATGAATGGCTAATTATAATGGAGTGTCGATCCAATTATACATAGCGAATATAGCAGACATGCCAACAAACATATATGGATATATGTCACCAAGCAACGGACTGTCAACAAACACTCATATTATATATAATATAATATAAGGAGAATACACATTAATAAAGGAGACAAGTCCATACAAGTGAAGTGGTCACAGACTAACCGAGCAAACAGAAAGAGAGACAAACATGCACACACACATAAATATATATGTGGATACATATCAGATATAAAGTCAAAAATATTCGAAGCACGAATTGAGAATATTAAATATAATAATACGAATAATAATAATAATAACAGTGAGTTTGTTTCAAACATTATTGGCGATTCAGTTTGGAAATTTTAGCATGTTATTATAGAGTATTGAATCTAGTGTTCTGTTGATGTGGCATAGTGAGGGTAGATACAAGATTAACAGTTATTAACACAGCTTAAATCATGTTCACACTTATGAGAAGACAAACAAATAGAAACAAAAAATTGCAAGAATTCTAAATATAAGAAGAACAATAACAATAAAGTTTGATGTTATAAGGGTGGAGAAAATGGTTTATTTAGTAGTGGAAAGAAGGTTAGTTAGTCAGTTCACGCCTGACACTATTTTCATCACATAAAGTACATGCTAAATATGGTATAGTGGAATTTTTATACTTAGACGTACGTGCATAAAGTGTTCTGGAAAGACTTCTTGTTTTACCTGAGGAGATACAAGGTTGGAGCTGCGGGTGTTGCAGTGGATGCTCAGAGTTTGACAAAATTCCTTTAGCAAATTTGTTGTATGAAATCAAGCGCCTATCAATGATGATGTCAACGATATGGCTCAATGGGATACCACTCTTCCAGCTTACAGTCTTCAGAGTTCTACGAAGCATGACATAGTCGTTTCTAAGCAATCCAGGAAGGAATAAGGGTGAACAGTAAGGAATAATAGGTAAGATGCACGAGTTGACAAACTGTAAG